CCTCCCCCGCCCCGCCCCGCCCCGCCCCGTCACCATCTCACCCACCTGCGAAGAGCCGGGAAGACAGAAAGGACAGAAAAAAGAAGGGCAGAGTCAGCACTATGAGCCCTGAAAGGCCCCCTTTCTGGAACCCCCTGCCCCACCCTGTGGGGACACTCACCCATTGACAGCGACCTGGGGAGCGCTTTGCTGCAGGAAGCAAGAGAGCCTCGGGTCAGGCGGGCTGATCTCTACCCTGGACTTCCCGGGTCCTGGCCCTTCTGTGTCCCCTGAAGTCCCAGCCTCACCTGCCGGCGCCGCCGCTCGTGCTGTAGCTGTTTCTCCACTGGGTCCTCCCAGGGGCGACCCTGTGGGTCAGTGGCCGGAGGCTCCCAGCCGCTGGAGAACTCAGGGCTGTATGGGGGTCCTTCCTCCAGGGGCAGCTCCACCCTAAAGCCAGGGACGGGCCCAGTTCAGGGATCCTGTCCGGTCCCCGACTTAGCCCTGACATTAACTTCACTAAGTTTTCCCCCTAAGCCTGGCTCTATCCCAACTGTTCTACTCTCGCCCCTTTTTTGCCAAGTCCTGCCCCTACCTCTAAGCCCAACTCACAACATCAATTCTACTTCTAAAAACTGCGTTAATTCCACTCAAGTGCCTCACCCAGCCTTTAAATCTCACCTCTGATTCCAAACCGGGTTTCTAGCAACAAACGACCCGCACTTTTCCCTAAGTCGCGTCTCAGGCTCTGCGCCTACCCCTGTGAAGCTCTCGGCCTCCAAGCGCAGACTCCGACCAATCTCCAAACGTATGGGGCAAACCTTCCCTAAGCCCAGCCCTTGCACTGTCGCCCCGTCCCAATCATCTAATCCCCTCCCCTTGCCCTGTAGTCCCGCTCAATTCTCTAAACTCCGCCTTCTGTTCCAATCCAATAGTTTGCTTGTCTTAAACCTCTCCTTCACTCTATTTATTTGTTTATTTTGGCGGCTGGCCGTCCGCTCTGATTTCTGACTTTTCCTCCAATCGGATCCTGGCGTTTGTCCTAAGTCTCGCCCCCTCTCAATTTCTTTAGCCACACTCTTCTAGCGAAGCTCTGCCTCCAACCCGTCTCTCCTAGTCCCACCTTCTCTCCAATCATCACGCCCCCTGCCTCCCAGCACCACCCCTCACCCTGGGCGGGTCCAGGAGTCCCCCAGCGAGGTCCAGAGGGCGTTTTCACGTGGAGTTACATTGTCCCGCAGCAGCGCCACGGCCTCGGACGTCAGGTGTGGCAGCCGCACGCCTCTCGCGAACTCGGGGCCGCCCGAGGTGTTCACGATCTGCCAGGGGAGCAGGAGCGGGCATGCCATCAGACCCTCTTGAAGTCTAACCCCGATTCCTCCTGCTGCAGGGGAAGCCCGAGGGCCTGCGGGGCGGATCGCACCATCTGCAGAGGTCCGAACAGGAAGTGCAGCAGCTCCGGGGAGGAGGGGTTGGCGATGTTGCTGCGCAGTCGGGCCTAAGTGAGGAGGAGAGGTCGGTGCCAGTGTATGCACGGGTCAGACTCGCCATCCCTTCGCCCATGGACGGCCGGGGATGGGCGCGTCCTCACCAGCAGGCTGAAGGCGTACTTGATTTTCTGAAGCACGTCGGTGTACTCGGCCTCCGAGGGAGGCTTGGCCCGCAGCGTCAGCAGACCCTCTGTGGGTGGGGAAACAGGCGCAGCGATGGGAGACACGGAGACAGCATTAGACGGTCAGAGAGAGAGAGAGGGGAAGAGAGAGAGAAGCAGACACCCCGTGAAAGCGTGATGAGAAGTCAAACCTGGCAAGCGGCGGGAGGGGAGTCCCCGGGGAGAGGGAGGATATTTGGGAGTGATCCGGGAGGGAGAGATTCGGGGTCTCACTCGGGGGCGACCCTTACCACCGGCCTCCCGGCGCCGGGTCCTGCGGCCGCGCTCCCGGTGCTCCAGCACGCGGGCCGCCTCCGCCGACTTCTGCAGCTTTGATACGAAGCTCTCCACGTCGTCAAACACGTGGTTCAGGATGTCCTGGGGGACGGAGGTGCGGAACACGTGGGGCTCCTGAGTCCCAGAGTCTCAGCCCTGTCACAACCCTTAAGCCTTGTGCTCGCTTTCGGCAGCACGTGTACCAACCCGCGAGCCAAGAGCTCCTGGACACGCGCCCAGTCCACACCACGGCCCCAGGGCTGGCCTCGCCCCCAGGCCGCGGTCACTGCTGGCTACACCCCCACACGACTGACCACGCCGCAGAACCAAGCCGGGCTCCGGAGCCCAACCCCGCCTCCGGAATTCGGAAGTCTGAACAGACCTGGGACCCGTGCCCCCCAGCGGTCTTCGCCCCCACACCCTAGCCCCACCTCTAGACATCGGCCCCCGCTCCAGACCCTGACCCCGCGCCGCTCACCACATCCCGCTCAGCCTGCAGACTGGCCAGGTCAGGACCCCGGGGTCCCAGGTCCGGGGAGGCCGGGTCAGCTCTGCTCGACGTGCCCTCTACGGCGGGCCTCCGCGCCTCCTCTGCCTCGGGGATGGGCTCCGCCTGGGGGCGGCCGGCGCCCGCTTCCACTGTGCTGATTACAGCGCGAACCGACGGGCGGCGCTGCAGGGGTGGGGTCTCGGCGGCGGGCGAGGGGCTGCGCTGCAACTCCTCCTGCGTGGCCCTGCGGAGAAGAAGGGGAAACCGAGGCTGGGTCAACCGACAGGTCCCGGAAGGGAGAATTCGGGAACGAGAATTCTTTTTTTTTTTTTTCCTTCCCTTTTTGTCTTTTTTACTGACCGGTAACGGGATCGCAACCGTCGGTGTCGCGCCGGTACCGGGGACCGGCAACGAGATCGCAACCCTCGGTGTTGCGCCCACACTGCGCTCAGACAGTGAGCGGGAACCGGTCTCCACATGGGATCCGAACCCTTGGCGGGAGCGCCGCCGCACTCCCAACCGGCGCACTCTCCAGTGCGCCACCGGGCCGGCCCCGAGAATTCTTAGAACGAGAGACACTGAGGCTGAAAGGGTCAAACATGGGCTCAGAGGGGTAGGGAGAAATACAATATGGGGAGGAAGAGCACCTCTCTAGAGGAAAACCGAGGCCAGAGGGAGGAGAAAGCGAGGACCATGACGGAGGAAAGTGAAGTCCTGGAGAGGGGTCCATTTGTCTGGGAGGTACAGGCAAGACTTGACCAGGATTTGACTCGTTCAGCTCTAGGCTGGTGATATCAGCCCATTTCTTGGATAAGGAAACTGAGGCTCAGACAGGTGAAACTGGCTTCCCAGAGACCGCGTCTCCCCTCTACCTCTCACCTGAGCGCCGCCGCCCTGCGCTCCCCACGACCCGATCGGTAATTGTGCAGAGCCCCCTGGATGTCCTCTCGGATCAGCTCCGCCTGCCAAATACACTGTTAGGCCACGTCCCTCCACGCCCCACCCAGTGCCAGCCTCGGGCCACGCCCCTGATCATTCCTTGGCTCCTCCCCAAACCACGGGCTGGCACCGCTCCTGCTGGTGGACCAGGCACGTCCACGCCCTGGACTCACGCCCTCGCCCTAAATCTGTTCCTGACCTAGACCACGACCCCGCCCATGGAGACCCAATCCTGGTGGTTCCTCGTCCACATCACCCCCCATCCTTGTTCTGGCCACTCCCCTAGACCTTCCTCTATGTCCTCAGAATATTCGAGCCCTCAGCCTCCCTTACATCCCACCCTCATTTTCTATCTCGACTCTGTATCCAACCTGTCCTCAAACCCCACTCCCTTCCAGAAGCTCTTTCCCAGGTCACGTTTCCTCCACTTGGGCTGACCCGTTCTTTGCTCTCAGGACCCGCCCAATTTCTGCGCCTGCTCTGGACTCCACCCCATTCCGGCTCCGCCCGCAGAACTAGCCTGAACCCAGCCGGGTCCTCTGCTGTTGTCCCCCAACCCGGCCCGCTAACCCCGAGGCGCAGGCCCTGGAAGAAGTGCACGTCCGGCTGCGCGCGCTCGGGCTCCTGGCACACGAGTAGCAGCAGCGAGCGGCTCCGGCCGGGTGGCATCACTGCGTCGCAGCGCACGATGGCGCCCAGCGGGTACGACTCCAGCTCCTCCTGCCGGGTGGGACGATGCAGTAAACGGAGGACCCGAACTAATAGTAGTACTAAATGGTGACTGCAGTGCCCAGTAGGTACAGGCACTAACTAGGCAGGGCAACTTCACGAGGTTAGGGGGGTTAGATAGTTCCCCCGTTTAACAGATGAGGATATTAAAGCTCAAGAAGAAGTCTGAGTCCTAGAGGAAGGACGCCAAGATTTACACTCAGGCCCCCTTTGAAAGCCCCGAGGGTCGAGATCTCCATGTCCCTGCAGGCCCAGGCCAATCACTTCTTCCACCCACGTGCCCCCTGGCACCTTGGAAACAGAGTCGAGCAGTGTGACATGGTCAGTGGACACTCGCAGCAGCATCTCCTGTGCCCAGACCCGGCCCTGGCTGTCCATGACGGCCAGCTTCCTTGAGGCATCTTCCACGGTGTGCACGCCATCCTCTTCGCCCAGGCAGAACGTCACCAGGTGCTGGCACAGGCCAGGGAGAAAGGAGTGAGTCCCAGGAAGATGCCAGATGGGTTCAGAATCCCCTGGAATCAGACTTGCAGCCTGAGATGAACCACAGCTCCTCCAAGAAGCCTTCCTTGATCACCTGCTCCACAAATCTGCCCCTTCTCCTAGTGCCTTTTGTTTCTCTTTCATCACCTGTGTCTCTCTTCTCACCAAGACCGGAGGCTCCTCGAGGACAGGGAATGGGTCTGGATTGTATCTAGTTCCTTCTAAATGACTTCTCTGGTTTCCCACGGTACCCTCTGCCACTTCCATTAGAGCACCTGGCACTCGTTGTCAGTGCCTCTGGAGTTTGTCTATCCCTTACTCATCCGGGACTGCATCTGATTTGTCCCTGTGGCCCTACTGTCTAGCATAAGGGCTGGTCTGGCGGACAAGATGGCAGATCTGAGTGGAACTGAGGTCCTTGACTTAATATCCATGTCTGAGGCAAGGCAGAGGCAGTCCATTTTGCGGACGAGCAAACTGAGTTTCCCACATTCTTTCTGCTTGGCGGCCAACTGCTTTCAACAGCCCTATCTCCCTAGGCCTACCTTCCCCCAGAAGACTCCCTGTGGACACAGGCCCCAGACTCACATTGACTGGATACTGGGATACATCGGCCATAACCACAGTGGAGTAACGCTTCCTCTGCTCTGCAGGGGGAGAAGGAGAATGAACCCAGGAGTCCAGGCCCCCAACCCCATCTCCCTCAGACTCAGAAGTCCAGGTCCCCAGCTCTCTTCTTCAGACCCAAGAGTTCAGGACTCTAGCCCCCTCCTCCTTCAAGACCCTGAAGTCCAGGTCCTCAGTTTCCTCAGACTCAGTTTCTGTGCACCTGGGGTTTCTTGCCCCCACACTCACCATAGATAGACTTGGCACTTGGCTTGGGTGCAGCTGCTGGGCTGGTGAAAAAAAAAAAAAGGGTGGCAGGGACTTTGGGAATTAGGGGCAGATCCTGTGGGAATGCCAAGCAGAACAGCAAGGATTTCATTGGGAGGGTAATGGGGAGCCATGGAGGGTTTTGAGTAGGAGAGGGCAGGGCCAGTGCTGAACTTCAAGAAGACAGGTAAAGCAGTGGTACCAGCTGGGGGTGGGGAGTATGGTCTCTACTGTCACACAGACCTGGGTTCAAATCCTCTTTCTGTTATTTCCTTGTCATAAGACCCTGGGCAGGGGACTAAGATAGTATCCATCTGGTAGGACTGTTGGGCAAATTCAATCAGATGATGCAGGTGATGTATTTTGCAGTCTCAATAACTGTTATTATCATTCTTGTGATGATGCAAAGGGCTTAGCACACAGTAGTTGCTCAATAAGTGGAAATGGTTACAATAGCATTAGTAATATCTGGAGTAGACAGAATTATCTTCTTCTTCCCCATCCTCACAGGTCAGGCTCTTCCCAGCCAAATCCTTTTCTGTCTCTTCCTGTCACTGGTCTACTCCTCTCGAATCCCCATTTTCATAAAATAACAGAAGCTCATAGCTCAGGTGGGGCCAGAGATGAGGGGGACTGGAAAACACTTTTAGCCACACTCCTGCTCCATCTGCTGCTCCTGCCAGTCAGATGCCCCCACAATTTGATTACCTTCCATGTAGCTATTTTGACTTATCTCTCTTTGTTCTTCTCCCTGCTCACTCCAGGAGACTTGAATCTTCATTATAAACAGCCCCAATTTTTTAGCAAGGGTTAATATTTAGTAACAAGATAACAACAGTAGCGATAGCGGTTCCCATGAGTTGAGCACCCACTGTTGCTGAGATTCTCTGCTAAGTCCTGCACAGGCTATATCCCATCAAGCTCTCAAAATTGTCCCTCTTTCAAAGAGGAGGACCTGAAGCTCAAAGAGATGACATCCTTTGATGAGAATCACACTACTGCTGAGTGTGAGCATTCAAATTTGAACCCGGGTCTGTGTACTTCCAAGCGGGAGCTCCTAACCATAGGCTGGGCACAGAGGGAAGAGGCTCATGCTTCCTCCTGAGTGTCCAGAATTGGGCTGTGCACAGTCCCTGGGCTGATATAAACAGGATCCGCAGATATGGGTAAAGAGGTGAGGGGAGGTGGGGTGAGGCTAGGGGCCTGGAGGGCAGGGGGAACTTACCCAGTGGTGGTGCTCATGGTGCTGAGAATGGGGAGCTCCAGCCCACCTGCAGGAACCCTGGGAGCCAACAAAGATGTGATGCCCTGACCTGGCCTGCAGGGACCTATGATTCCTGCCCCAGCTCCTACTTTCTCAGACCCAAGAGTTCAGGTCCCAGCCCCTCCTCCCTCAGCCCAGGCCTCAAGCCCCCTCCTCCCTCAGACCCAATGGTCCAGGTCCCAGCCCCGTCTCCCTCAGACTCAGCAGCCCAGGCCCCAGCCCCTCCTCCCTTAGACCCAGAAGTTCTTCCTCCCTCAGACCCAGGAGTTTAGACCCCCAGCTCTTCCTCCCTCAGAACCTAGAAGTCTGACCCTCAGCCCTCTTCTCTGTGGGACCCAGACCTCCTCACCTGCTCTGTCAGGCTCTGCCTGGCTCTCAGTTCTCCTCTCCCTTCCAGTCTGCCGGCTCCTCCTTCCTTCTTCCTGCCAGAGCTCTTCGCCTCCGCATACCTGAGCACTCATCTGGCACAGCCAGGCTGGAGTGGCCCTGGGGCGGGGCTGGCAGACAGATCTAGGAGGGGGCTGGGACAGCTTCGGGGAGCTAGGAAACTTTAACCGGCTTGGATGAAACAACAATAGAGAATAATAACAGAAACAATAATTTGATGTCACCCTTGTTCACATGTCAGAGTTGAAAGCTCTGTCGTAAACACTCCCTTTGAATTCTCCTAAAAACTGGGAGAGGCTGGAGGTTTGATTTCCACTTGACTGATGTGGAAGCTGCAGCCTAGAAAAGTTAAGCATCTTATTCATGTTGATTGGTCAAAGGAGGTATGTGGAAGGGGGATTTGAACCCAGGGCTGATGTTATATCTCCAGGGCCAGTGTCCATCCCTACCTTGTAGACTCCTACTGTCCAAGGTTACTGTCACCACTGGTGCCCTCAACCCCCACCCCATCCCCTTCCCTCTTTCTTTGGAAATTTCCCCCAATAATCCCCCGTTAGGATAATAGCTGAGATTGAGTTTATTAAGTTCAATAAACTTGGCACAGCTCCAAGTTTATCACAAAAATGAACAGGATTCTCAGGCATCAATACCTCTCTAAAAGCTCTTTTTGAGAACTCCCTCCATTCCATGGTAACCAAGTTGTACACACCATTTCTTCCCTCAAATGAGGGAGGTGTGTGTGAGGGGGGGCGTCTCCATTCCACAGATGAGGAAACTGAAGCCCAGAAGGATTAAAAAGTTGCCCAAGGTTACACATGCAGTGAGTAGATGAGAATGGCAAACTCTAAGGCCCAGAACTTAGAGAGCAGGGGCAGGGGACAGACGTGCCTGCTCTTAGCCTTTCCCATTATTGATGATTTCCACCTGGTTTCCACAACCACCACCTCTCACCTGGGCCAATGCAGTAGCCTCCTAAGTGGAGGCCTCATCCCTGTTCTGTCTTTCCTCCCCTCAGCCTAGTCTCAATGCAGGAATCCTGTAGAAAACCAAGTCAGCTCATGACAATCCTCTGCTCAAAATCTTCTAGTGGCTATTCATTTCTCTTTGGATAAAAGCTGAAGTCTTACAAGGCCTAAAGGGAATGACTCTGATCTCATCTCTTCTTCCTCTCCTCCTGAATCACTCTGTTTCAGCACACTGGCCTCCTTGCTGCTCCATGAACACCCAGACTCCATCCTGCCGCAGGACCTTTGCACATGCTCCTCTCTCTGTCTGGAATACTCTTTCACCTGATATCCTCAAGGCTTGCTGTCTCTCCTCCTTCAAGCCTTTGCTTGAATGTCATCTTCTCAGAGAAGCCTGGATGACCATACTGTTTAAAATTGCAGCACTCCTTACCCCACTTCTTTGTAGTCTCTCTCCCCTCCCTACTTTATTTTTCTCCAGAGCACTTATCACCTTCTTACACACTATGTTTCCCATTCATTTTGTTTACTTTATGTTTTCCACATTAGAATGTAAACTTCATGATGGCAAAGACTTTTGTATGTTCAGTCTCCCACTCTATCCACAGCACATAGAATTGTGTTCGCACACAGTAGGAGCTGGAGTGAAATTTAATAAAAGAGATTTTGGCATTTGGTGCATTCATGTGCATTATTTCATTGCCTCATTCAACGCATGTTGACTTCACAGTCTATGCTGAGTGAGGCTGGAAACCAGAGAAGGCATGTTCTTGCTCTAAATTGATTGGGATAAAAGAACAGAGAGATGGGCTGGCCGGTTAGCTCAGCTGGTTAGAGTGTGGTGTTGTAACACCAAGGTCAGGGGTTCAGGTCTCCATACAAACCAGCAGCCAAAAAACAAAAACAAATCAAACAAAAAAACAAGACAGAAAGAAACCAAACTAGTTCAAAGAACAGAAAGAGAGATGATTATATGTGTGGTGCGATGGCAAAAAGCACAGGCAGGTTTGACTCCTGGCTTTGCCACTTGATAATTTTGGTAATATTTGCGTACTTTTGTCTTCTTCTCAGTTCATTATAAATATGTGAGTATGTGTGTGCATGCATAATCCACACAGCATCCTATAAAATGGGTCCAATCATCTGCAGACCCTAAACTCCTGGGGTCTGGACTCCTGGGTCTGAGAGAGGAGGAGCAGGCCCGAACTACTTGGTTCACTGGCAGCGCAGGTGGCCATTCAGGTCCTGCCCACGATGCAGGCAAGACTGAAACCTGAACCTATTATCCCCATTTTATAGATGAAGAAACTGAGGCACATACAAGCTAAGTAATTTGTTTACAGTCATACAACTAATATATGGAGGAGATGATTGAACATGTCATACAATTTTGACCCTGCATCCTTTGATGCTATCCTATGCTGCCACCTTGTGACTCTGCCCCTTTCTAGCTGTGTGACCCAGGGCAAATTACTTAACCTCTCTGTGCCCTAGTCTTCCAACTGTAAAATGGGGATAACAACGTTGGGAGGATTAAGTGAGTTTACTGAGAGTTAGCACAATACCTGGCAAAAAGACAATTCAAGGTCAATGTTAGCCGTGACGGAGATAATGGCCTTTCTTCCCACTATATGCTTAATGGAGGACACAAAGGGTGCTGCAGAAGCTTAAAGAGGCTGCTAAGAGGGTAAGGGTGGGCTTCCTCAGGCTAGAGCTCAACCTGAAGGGTGAATTTGACAGCCAAGGTGGCCTAGAGGATGAGAAAGTGTTCCAGGCCATGAAACTGCCTGAGCAAAGAAGGGGAGGGTTGCCAAGCACTGGGGGCTCCTGGGCAAACTTATGTTCTCAGCAGGTGGTTCTCCTATGTGTAGCAGAGGGAGGAAGGAAGGTCCCTGTGCTTATCTTTCTTTGGCTTCCGTCACTGTGTTCTTGTCGCATTTGAGACATGAATATTTTATGAGCTCAGCTCTGTCTGGGTTGGGATTTGAAGGAAGGAGCAGTCACCTTACCCCACTGACAGAGAAGAAAACAGAGGCTCAGAGCGGGCAGACCAGTAGCCCAAGGTCACAGTGGCCCTGGGTTGTGACATAAATGCCGATCAGGCTGAGCCAGGCCTCTTTCTTTACGTGCACGTGGGGAAACAGCAGAACTCGGTGTGGGGCCCAGACTCCCGGGTCTGAGGGAGGAGAGGGTGGTGCCCAGCTCCTCGCTTTGGGGGCGGTGCAGGTGGCCCCCAGGCCCCGCCCACTCGCTGCTGTTCTGCGGTCTGAAGCTGCAGGCGAGACCGAAACTTGAGCCTCTGCCCTAGTTCCAGGGCCCAGGGCCTCCTTCCTCCTTCCTCGGCCGCAAAGGAGGCCCCTCCCGCTCCCCAAACCGTAGCAAGTCGTTCGCAAATACCGGTCGAGACTCCCACCCCTGCACAGCCTGACTCATTAAGTCCGGGGCGGAGGCAGCGAATCTCTGTCTTGGAAACTCACCAGGGTAGTCCATTATCGAATAACCCGGTTCGGCCTCCGTGCCTAAACTGGGATTATTTGTGCACGGGGAGCTGGATGTTTTTTTCTCCCAGTTGTATGGTCACAGGAACCGAACGGAATTCTCCACTGGGACTTGATAAGCTAAAATTCCCCCTGTGTGTCATATCTGAAACTATCCGCATCTCTTCCATTATCCCCAACCCCCAGCTCACCTCAACCCCTAGGCCATCAGACTGTAGGATTTGCTGATACATTTCCGTTTTGTTTTTTGTTTTTGGTGGCTGGCAGGTACGGATATCCGAACCCTCGACTTTGGTGTTATCGGCACCGTGCACTACCGAGAGAGCTAACCAGCAAGCCCTGCTGATACCTTTCCAGGACAAGGAGAGAGATCAAAGTCACTGGTAACAGGAGCTATGGCATGTTGGGGGGAGGGGTTATAACCTTGATGTGGGGGCTGTTGGCCGGTTAGCTCAGTTGGTTAGAATATGGTACTCATAATACCAAGGTCCAGGGTTCAATCCCTCTACCTGCCAGCCACCAAAAAAAAAAAAAAAAAAAAAAAAAAAAAAAAAAAAAAAGAAAAAAAAATTAGATGGGGGCAGGGTCTCAGAGAAATATATGTATTTACGTACCAATTAATTTCTTTATTCATTCAATGCATGAATAGTTCCTGAGAGCTATTTGTGCCTTACCCTTTCTCCTTAAGAAGAGTTGTATTAAGGAAATAGCCCCTGTCGGCATGCACAGTCATAATTCACGGTGATGTGTGCACTGATGGAAGTGGCACAGGGCACTGTGTGTCCCCAGAGAAGGCCCTTAATCCAACTTTGTGGGTGTGTGAGGCAGTCAAAGAAGCCTTCCCTGGTTAAGTGATAACTTGGTGGGGTTTTGAAGGAAGAATAGGAGTTTGCCGAAAAAGATGAAGGGAAGAATGAAATTCCAAACATTGAGAGTGGCATATGCAAAGTCTCAACGTCATGGAGTAGCAAATACTTAAGCACCTACTGTGTGCCAAGCATGTTCTAAGTCCTGGCGCCACAGAAGAGGGGGAAACAGATGAAGCCCCAGCCCTTGTGTTATTGTTATCCTAGTGGGCATGGTGGGGAGATGGAAGATAAACAGGCAGACATATACATGAATAAGATT